GGTCCAAAAACGAGACTGCTCACAAACCTTTTCTTCGCTATTATATAGCCCTCTGATCTATCCTGTTCTCGAATATTCTGGATTCATTCTCACGAATTTACAATGGTGAAAGTCGTGTCTGGCCCGTGATAATTCACATTTCACACAAATCCTGTGAACAATCATGTTTCACATAAAACCTGACTTTCAGATGTCTCTCATGAGACATGGAACCACTGACTGTATCCCCACTTAGAAGCCTGTGTGGTGTTTGCTGACATGGAACCACTGACTGTATCCCCACATAGAAGCCTGTGTGGTGTTTGACTGCCAGTGTTGCTGACATGGAACCAATGACTGTATCCCCACATAGAAGCATGTGTGGTGTTTGTCTGCCAGTGTTGCTGACATGAAACCAATGACTGTATCCCCACATAGATGCCTGTGTGGTGTTTGTCTGCCAGTGTTGCTGACATGAAACCAATGATTGTATCCCCACATAGAAGCCTGTGTGGTGTTTGACTGCTAGTGTTGCTGACATGAAACCAATGACTGTATCCCCACATAGATGCCTGTGTGATGTTTGACTGCCAGTGTTGCTGACATGGAACCACTGACTGTATCCCCACATAGAAGCTGTGTGGTGTTTGACTGCTAGTGTTGCTGACATAGAACCACTGACTGTATCCACACATAGAAGCCTGTGTGGTGTTTCACTGCCAGTGTTGCTGACATGGAACCAATCACTGTAGTCTCGCTGGGATAGTTTGTGAGACTTTAGTTATTACTGACTGTCAGTTTTAAGAAAGGTTTAATCATGTGATCTCAGGCAGGACTCTTGTCTCTCTGACTCTCAGACACACACATATGCACACACGCGTGCATGCACACACAGACACACAGAGTGAATGAAAAAACAAACTTATTTTCAAAGGGTCACAAATTGGACATGCTGCCCCATTTTACATTTGGCCCTTCCAAACACCAGACTCACGCAGCAGTTATGTTTTACCAATAAAGCATGTTCATATAAAATATGCGCACATTCACACAAACATACACTCACAAATACATGCATGCTTGCATACATGCGAGCATACACAGACACATTCGCACATGCACACACACACACACTCACACTCACTCACCCACTCTCTCACTCTCTCTCTCACTCACTCATTCACTCTCTCACTCTCTCTCACTCTCTCTTTCACTCTCTCTTTCACTCACTCTCACTCTCTCTCTCTCACTCTCTCTTTCACTCTCTCTCTTACTCTCTCTCTCTTACTCTCTCTCTCTCACTCTCACTCTCTCTCTCACACACACACACAGACTAACACACACACTCTCACACACATACACATAAACACAAACACGCATACAAACACACATACAAAAACACATACAAACACTCATACATATGCATGCATACCTATACATATATGCACTGTCCCTCACACATACATACATACATACATACACACATACACACAAACACACATACAAACACACATACATACGCTGCCAAACCTAAACATTCATGCACTGTCCCTTATACATACATACATACACACACACATTCATATACATACATACACTCACATTCACACACACACACACAAAAAACACATACATACATGAATGCATACATACACACATACATATAGGCATCCATGCATACAGACACATAGAAGCATAGACATACACACTCAGACATACACACAGTCACACACAAACACAGATTCATATATACACACACACACACACACAGACATACACACATAGACATACACACATAGACACACACACACACATACATACATAAGGCATACGTGTATACAGACAAACACATGTACACACACATACATTTGCTAAGACACACATGCTGACACACACATTTGGACACAAACATACACACAAAGACATGCAGACACATGCACAGACAACCACACACACACATACACAGAAGCACATATATACACATAGTCATACATGCACACACTTATACATACACAGAATCATACATGTTAACAGATATGGTTCTCTTTATTAATGATTGTCAGAAGATATGGTTCTCTTTATTAATGATTGTCAGAATATATTGTTCTCTTTATTAATGATTGTCTGTCAATGAATATGGTTCTCTTTATTAATAATTGTTTATCAACAGATATGGTTCTCTTTATAAACAGCTGCCAGTGGCTACCTGAGGTTGCTATTGATAGGCCAGGGAATGTAAATAGGGTGGTGAGAGAGACGGATGTGCCAGGGCAGCCGTTCTCAACCTGTGGGTCATGACCCTTTTTTGAGTCCAACAACCCTTTCACAGGGGTCGCCAAAGACCATCGCAAAATACTTATTCACTAAAGTTAAGAAGTAGCCCCCCCCCCCCCCCCCAAAAAAAAAAATTAGGAGGGGGGGGGATTGGGGGTAGCCACAACACTTGGAACTGTATGAAATGGTCACCACAACATAAAGAACTGTATGAAAGGGTCGCCACAACATGTAGAACTGTATGAAAGGGTCACCACAACATGAAGAACTGTATGAAAGGGTCACCACAACATGAAGAACTGTATGAAAGGGTCGCCACATTATGAAGAACTTTATGAAAGGGTCGCCACAACATGAAGAACTGTATGAAAGGGTCACCACAACATGAAGAACTGTATGAAAGGGTCGCCACAACATGAAGAACTGTATGAAAGGGTCACCACAACATGAAGAACTGTATGAAAGGGTCGCCACAACATGAAGAACTGTATGAAAGGGTCACCACAACACTTGGAACTGTATGAAAGGGTCACCACAACATGAAGAACTGTATGAAAGGGTCGCCACAACATGAAGAACTGTATGAAAGGGTTGCCACAACATGTAGAACTGTATTAAAGGGTCGCCACAAAATGAAGAACTGTATGAAAGGGTCGCCACAACATGAAGAATTGTATGAAAGGGTCGCCACAACATGAAGAACTGTATAAAAGGGTCGTCACAACATGAAGAACTGTATGAAAGGGTCACCACAACATGAAGAACTGTATGAAAGGGTCGCCACAACATGAAGAACTGTATGAAAGGGTCACCACAACATGAAGAACTGTATGAAAGGGTCACCACAACATTAAGAACTGTATAAAAGGGTCACCACAACATGAAGAACTGTATGAAAGGGTCACCACAACATGAAGAACTGTATGAAAGGGTCACCACAACAGGAAGAACTGTATGAAAGGGTCACCACAACATGAAGAACTGTATGAAAGGGTCACCACAACATGAACTGTATAAAAGGGTCACCACAACATGAAGAACTGTATGAAAGGGTCACCACAACATGAAGAACTGTATGAAAGGGTCACCACAACATGAAGAACTGTATGAAAGGGTCACCACAACATGAAGAACTGTATGAAAGGGTCACCACATTAGGAAGGTTGAGAACCACTGTGCTAGAGGATGAGTCAGGTGCATAAATAACCAACTACATCTTCTACAGACACACACATGGCTGCAGGTCTTGGCTGCTTTGGCAACGGTGTTGCTTGATAAAATTGCCATGTTTCATTGCCGTTCACATTTTCTGCAACCCAGCTTTCCAGTTTTATCATTTCTTACATCAGAATATTTTAGCTGCTAATTGTTTTTGTCTTTTAGTTTCCTCAGTTTTTTAGTCCCTGAAGTGTTTAGTTTTGTAACCTGTTGGTTTCCTTTTTTCCAGTATACTGGTTTCCTAATTTAGAAATGAAGAGTGTTTTGTCTGTGATTCGTTCACAGGTCTGCAGCAGTAGTGGCTGCTCGTCAGGCTGCAGCCTCCAAGAAGTTTGACCTGACCAAGTGGAAGTATGCAGAGTTGAGAGATGCCATCAACACTTCTTGTGGTAAGTACACACAACCACTTGTTGGAGCTGGGACTCTTCCAGGACTGGTGGATTCAGTACTGGTGGAGTCTGGAACAAGTCCAGTACTGGTGGAGTCTGTGCCTTGTTCACTGCTGGCGAAGTCTGTGCCTTGTTCACTGGTGGCAGAGTCTGTGCCTTGTTCACTGCTGGCGAAGTCTGTGCCTTGTCCACTACTGGCAGAGTCTGTGCCTTGTGCACTACTGGCGGAGTCTGTGCCTTGTCCACTACTGGCGGAGTCTGTGCCTTGTTCACTACTGGCAGAGTCTGTGCCTTGTTCACTACTGGCGGAGTCTGTGCCTTGTCCACTACTGGCAGAGTCTGTGCCTTGTCCACTACTGGCAGAGTCTGTGCCTTGTTCACTACTGGCAGAGTCTGTGCCTTGTTCACTACTGGCAGAGTCTGTGCCTTGTTCACTACTGGCGGGGTCTGTGCCTTGTCCACTACTGGCAGAGTCTGTTCCTTGTTCACTACTGGTGAAGTCTGTGCCTTGTCCACTACTGGCGGAGTCTGTGCCTTGTCCACTACTGGCAGAGTCTGTGCCTTGTTCACTACTGGCAGAGTCTGTGCCTTGTTCACTACTGGCAGAGTCTGTGCCTTGTTCACTACTGGCAGAGTCTGTGCCTTGTCCACTACTGGCGGGGTCTGTGCCTTGTCCACTACTGGCAGAGTCTGTGCCTTGTCCACTACTGGCAGAGTCTGTGCCTTGTTCACTACTGGTGAAGTCTGTGCCTTGTTCACTGGTGGCAGAGTCTGTGCCTTGTTCACTGCTGGCGAAGTCTGTGCCTTGTTCACTGGTGGCAGAGTCTGTGCCTTGTTCACTGCTGGCGAAGTCTGTGCCTTGTTCACTGGTGGCAGAGTCTGTGCCTTGTTCACTGCTGGCGAAGTCTGTGCCTTGTTCACTGGTGGCAGAGTCTGTGCCTTGTTCACTGCTGGCGAAGTCTGTGCCTTGTTCACTGGTGGCAGAGTCTGTGCCTTGTTCACTGCTGGCGAAGTCTGTGCCTTGTCCACTACTGGCAGAGTCTGTGCCTTGTCCACTACTGGCAGAGTCTGTGCCTTGTCCACTACTGGCAGAGTCTGTGCCTTGTTCACTACTGGTGAAGTCTGTGCCTTGTCCACTACTGGCAGAGTCTGCGCCTTGTTTAGTACTGGTGGAGTCTGTGCCTTGTTCAGTACTGGTGGAGTCTGCGCCATGTCCAGTACTGGTGGAGTCTGTGCCTTGTTCAGTACTGGTGGAGTCTGCGCCATGTCCACTACTGGTGGAGTCTGTGCCTTGTCCACTACTGGCAGAGTCTGCGCCATGTCCAGTACTGGTGGAGTCTGTGCCTTGTTCACTACTGGCAGAGTCTGCGCCATGTCCAGTACTGGTGGAGTCTGTGCCTTGTTCACTACTGGCAGAGTCTGCGCCATGTCCAGTACTGGTGGAGTCTGTGCCTTGTTCACTACTGGTGGAGTCTGTGCCTTGTTCACTACTGGCAGAGTCTGCGCCATGTCCAGTACTGGTGGAGTCTGCGCCATGTCCAGTACTGGTGGAGTCTGTGCCTTGTTCACTACTGGCAGAGTCTGCGCCATGTCCAGTACTGGTGGAGTCTGTGCCTTGTTCACTACTGGCAGAGTCTGCGCCATGTCCAGTACTGGTGGAGTCTGTGCCTTGTTCACTACTGGCAGAGTCTGCGCCATGTCCAGTACTGGTGGAGTCTGTGCCTTGTTCACTACTGGCAGAGTCTGCGCCATGTCCAGTACTGGTGGAGTCTGTGCCTTGTCCACTACTGGCAGAGTCTGCGCCATGTCCAGTACTGGTGGAGTCTGTGCCTTGTTCACTACTGGCAGAGTCTGCGCCATGTCCAGTACTGGTGGAGTCTGTGCCTTGTCCACTACTGGTGGAGTCTGTGCCTTGTTCAGTACTGGTGGAGTCTGTGCCTTGTTCACTACTGGCAGAGTCTGCGCCATGTCCAGTACTGGTGGAGTCTGTGCCTTGTTCACTACTGGCAGAGTCTGCGCCATGTCCAGTACTGGTGGAGTCTGTGCCTTGTCCAGTACTGGTGAAGTCTGTGCCTTGTTCACTACTGGTGGAGTCTGTGCCTTGTTCACTACTGGTGGAGTCTGTGCCTTGTTCACTACTGGTGAAGTCTGTGCCTTGTTCACTACTGGCAGAGTCTGCGCCATGTCCAGTACTGGTGGAGTCTGTGCCTTGTTCACTACTGGTGGAGTCTGCGCCATGTCCAGTACTGGTGGAGTTTGCGCCATGTCCAGTACTGGTGGAGTCTGTGCCTTGTTCACTACTGGTGGAGTCTGTGCCTTGTTCACTACTGGTGAAGTCTGTGCCTTGTTCACTACTGGCAGAGTCTGCGCCATGTCCAGTACTGGTGGAGTCTGTGCCTTGTTCACTACTGGTGGAGTCTGTGCCTTGTTCACTACTGGTGGAGTCTGTGCCTTGTTCACTACTGGTGGAGTCTGTGCCTTGTTCACTACTGGCAGAGTCTGCGCCATGTTCACTACTGGTGGAGTCTGCGCCATGTTCACTACTGGTGGAGTCTGTGCCTTGTTCACTACTGGTGGAGTCTGTGCCTTGTTCACTACTGGCAGAGTCTGTGCCTTGTTCACTACTGGTGGAGTCTATGCCTTGTCCACTACTGGTAGAGTCTGTGCCTTGTCCACTACTGGTGGAGTCTGTGCCTTGTTCACTACTGGTAGAGTCTGTGCCTTGTCCAGTACTGGTGGAGTCTGTGCCTTGTTCACTACTGGTAGAGTCTGTGCCTTGTTCACTACTGGTAGAGTCTGTGCCTTGTCCAGTACTGGTGGAGTCTGTGCCTTGTTCACTACTGGTAGAGTCTGTGCCTTGTCCAGTACTGGTGGAGTCTGTGCCTTGTCCAGTACTGGTGGAGTCTGTGCCTTGTTCACTACTGGCAGTCTGTGCCTTGTTCACTACTGGTAGAGTCTGTGCCTTGTCCAGTACTGGTGGAGTCTGTGCCTTGTCCAGTACTGGTGGAGTCTGTGCCATGTCCAGTACTGGTGGAGTCTGTGCCTTGTCCAGTACTGGCAGAGTCTGCGCCATGTCCAGTACTGGTGGAGTCTGTGAACTACCAGCTACTCAGCATTTGTTGAAATTGTGGATGATTTTATATTGGTCATCTGCTGACCATGACTGATTCAGTGCTGACCATGTGGTGGCTAGATTTGTTTAATAGTCCTGTTCAGTTCAGGTTTTGAAGGTAAGAGTTAATTTTGTGTTTATGTGTTGGAAAAAAGTGTTAATATTGTGTGAGGGTGTTGGAAATAAGGGTTAATATTCTGTTGTTAGTATTGTGTGAGGGTCTTGGAAATGAGGGTTAATATTGATTTAAGCTTAGTTATCAGACTAGAGAAATTATCAGACTTTTGGCTAGAAAAGTTATCACACTTTTGGTTAGAGAAGTTTTTAGACATGGGCCTGAAAAATTATCAGACTTCCAATTAGAGAATTTATCACACTTTTGGCTAAAGAAGTTATCAGACTTTAAGCCAGAGAAGTTATCAGACTTTTGTCTAGTGAAGCTATAATACTTTTGGCTAGAGAAGTTGTCAAGCTAAAAAGGTTAGCCAGAAAAATTTTTTATTTAACTCTTCGAGTCCCAAAGAACACAGCATATGTTCATAGGTTACTGCTTAGAAGCCCAGTGAACGCATGATGCACCGATTTTACATCTCTCTTGACTACTCCTTGGGCCTGTGATGCTAAACCCTCTGGTACTCAAAGGGTTAATGCTCTTCTTCTGTATTTGCTTTTAAAGGGGCAGTGGCACATTATGTTGTTTACAGCTAACCGCTGCTGTTTTCACCAAACACATTATGTTATTGTTTACAGCTAACCGCTGCTGTTTTCACCAAACACATTATGTTATTGTTTACAGCTAACCGCTGCTGTTTTCACCAAACACATTATGTTATTGTTTACAGCTAACCGCTGCTGTTTTCACCAAACACATTATGTTATTGTTTACAGCTAACCGCTGCTGTTTTCACCAAACACATTTGATTTAAGCAAAACCTCAATGAATGGCTTTTGATGACCAGCTGGTCAAGGGCAAGGGATCAGTTCTGTTCCCCAGAATAGAGAGATTTGGATCTTCAGAATAATATATGATTGGTCAGTTATTATTGATTGCTAGTAGGTGACTAAATGAAAGCATGACGATGGTGTCTTGACTTGACTGAATACAGATCTGGAGCTGCTAGATGCCTGCCGTGAAGAGTTCCATCGTCGTCTCAAGGTTTACCACAGCTGGAAAACTAAAAACAAGAAGAGGGCCGATAAGGGCGACCAAGATCAGAGGGCGCCACACTCGGTGGAAACTACTGGTAAGTGGCACTGTCATTGATTTTGTATGCTATCTACAGACATTTACCTGAGATTGTATGCTAGCTAGACTTTTATCTGATTGTAGGCTAGCTACAGACTTTTATCTGAGGTTGTATGCTAGCTACAGACTTTTATCTGAGATTGTATGCTAGCTACAGGCTTTATCTGAGATTGTATGGTAGCTACAGGCTTTATCTGAGATTGTGTGCTAGCTACAGGCTTTATCTGAGATTGTATGCTAGCTACAGGCTTTATCTGAGATTGTATGCTAGTTATCTGAGATTGTGTGCTAGCTACAGGCTTTATCTGAGATTGTATGCTAGTTATCTGAGATTGTGTGCTAGCTACAGGCTTTATCTGAGATTGTATGCTAGTTATCTGAGATTGTATGCTAGCTACAGGCATTTTCTGAGATTGTATGGTAGTTATCTGAGATTGTGTGCTAGCAACAGGCTTTATCTGAGATTGTGTGCTAGCTACAGGCATTTATCTGAGATTGTGTGCTAGCTACAGGCTTTATCTGAGATTGTGTGCTAGCTACAGGCTTTATCTGACATTGTGTGCTAGCTACAGGCTTTATCTGACATTGTATGCTAGTTATCTGAGATTGTGTGCTAGCTACAGGCTTTATCTGAGATTGTATGCTAGTTATCTCAGATTGAATGCTAGCTACAGGCATTTTCTGAGATTGTGTGCTAGCTACAGGCTTTATCTGAGATTTTTTGCAGCAATCACTGTATCCTCTGGTGCAGCTCTCATTGACGTGATGTGAGTTACTGAAATATTCTCTGTAGTTTTGTTGACTGTTCACAGCCAGAAGGGAAAGATGTACAGGGTTCAGAAACTTTTATGTTCAGTGTCCTGCAGAGCATAGTGTACACTGTCTTAACAGTGTGAGTCATATAGGGGTCTGATATTAATGTGTACAGTATCCTACAGTGTGATGTGTACAGTTGTAAGATATTTATATGTATAATGTCTCACAGTCTGAGGTGTACAGTGATCACATATTTGTGTGTGTACAATGTCCCACAATGAGAGGTGTATAGTGGTCAGATGAAGTGCATTGGGTTCATAGTGAAGGCAAATGGACATTGCTTGGTGCAGCGAAGCTTGGCATGTGATAACACAACATTTAGTTTGAGAATGGAGGCGGAGGCAGTTACTGCTGCCTTCCGCTGGCTTAAAAAATCAACTGTACAAACATGCTGTCATTGTAACTGACTCATAGAGCATGTTGAGAAAGTTGGAGACAGGCGTGCTTCCTGCAGAATGGCAAGCATCACTTCAAAGGTCCCGGGTAGTTAGCATCCTTTGGATATTTTCTCTAGGTGATGCTGGTGTGCTGGAAAATGAACAGGTAGATAGACTGATGAATGACAAGCTGGATGTTGTGAGTCCCCTTTGAGAGTGAGTGAACTGTGCTGAGGCACAGATAGATCATTACAGTCTGAGGAGAATGACAAGCTGGATGTTGTGAGTCCCCTTTGAGAGTGAGTGAACTGTGCTGAGGCACAGATAGATTATTACGGTCTGAGGAGAATGGCAATGGGAGGAGTTACAAGGAGATCTTGCCGGCGGGAAAGGGGAGACAGATATACAATCAGACAGTTACTGGTACCATCCGAGTTGTTATTCTTGGCTTGCTGCTGAAGATGTTGATGAAGCACTTATAGGGGTGTCCCAAGTGCTGGGATGTTGATGGAGCACTTATAGGCGTGTCTGAGGAGAATGCTGAGATGGATGTTGGAGCACTTTGAGGGTGTGTCCCAAGTGCTGGGATGTTGATGGAGCATTACAGTCTGAGGAGTGTTCCAAGTGCTGGATGTTGTGAGAGCACTTTATAGGGGTGTCCCAACTGTGCTGGGACAGTTGATCATTACACTTATAGGCGTGTCCCAAGTGCTGAGATGTTGATGGAGCACTTATAGGGGTGTCCCAAGTGCTGGGATGTTGATGGAGCACTTATAGGGATCATTACGGTGCTGAGGAGAATGGCACTGGGAGCACTTATAGGGGTGTTCCAAGTGCTGGGATGTTGATGGAGCACTTATAGGGGTGTCCCAAGTGCTGGGATGTTGATGGAGCACTTATAGGGGTGTCCCAAGTGCTGGGATGTTGATGGAGCACTTATAGGGGTGTCCCAAGTGCTGGGATGTTGATTCTTAATTCAACATTTTTAGTGGTCAGATAATTTTGTGTACAGTGTCCCACACTGTAGAGTGTTCATTGGTCAGATATTTATGTGTACAATGTCCCTGCAGTGTGGGATGTACACTGGTCATGTCTTCATGTGTACAGACTTCTACAGTGTGGAGTGCACAGTGTTCATGCGTACAGTCTCCAACAGTGTGAGTTGTATAATGGTCAGTTATTGATGTGTACAGTTGACGCATGCAATGTATAGGCTACACTGCACACCTGCCAAGTATCTAGGGGTACTCAATAGTTTCACACTTACAAGTCACAACTCCTGCTCAGCAGTAATAGAGGACGTCTGAGGACAGTATCCCACAGTGTGGTTTATACAGTGGTCAGACATTTATGTGTACAGTGGTCAGATATTTATGTGTACAGTGGTCAGATATTTATGTGAACAGTGTCCCACAGTGTGGTTTATACAGTAATCAGATATTTATGTGTACAGTGTCCAACAGTGTGGTGTTTATACAGTGGTCCGATATTTATGTGTACAGTGTCCAACAGTGTGCTTTATACAGTAATCAGATATTTATGTGTACAGTGTCCAACAGTGTGGTTTATACAGTGGTTAGATATGTTTGTGTACAGTGTCCTACAGTGTGGTGTATACAGTGGTCAGATATTTATGTGTAGTGTCCAACAGTGTGGTCCAAACAGTGGTCACATATTTATGTGTAGTGTCCAACAATGTGGTGTATACAGTGGTCCGATATTTATGTTTACAGTGTCCTACAGTGTGGTCCTAACAGTGGTCAGATATTTATGTGTACAGTATCCAACAATGTGGTGTATACATTGGTCAGATATTTATGTGTACAGTGTCCAACAGTGTGGTGTATACAGTGGTCAGATATTTATATGTACAATGTCCAACAGTGTGGGTATACAGTGGTATACAGTGGCTAGTGGAGAATGAGGAATCCCTGACACTAACACGATTGCGTGACATGGGAGTTAAGCATGGTGATGCACGTCT